CAGGAATCCAAAAAGCACAGGTGTGATACTTCTACTCATTCAGGACATAGTACTGTAATAACATTAAACTGGCTTTTTGATGACTGTTAATGTTATCGTATCTTAGGTTTCCTACTGTAATATATTTAATGGTCAGAATCAACGGGAAGTTTTTGATTCTGTCGGAGCAAAGTGATGATTTGCCTACACAGAAGCAGCTTTCCTGCCACCTGCCCTAAGCGACAGCTGCATTAGCTACAGACAGGTGTATTCTTTTATTTTGAATACTTCTGGCATATACAAACACCAGACTTCATCAGCTTTGACGAATCTAGTGAAAATATAGTTAGAAAAGGCTCTTACTATGGCGTTTCTTTGTTTCTGCTTTACCTTCTTCTTTTGTTACTCCCAAGCAGCCCATTAATTCTTGAACTGACAAGGACTTATCATTGTTCACATCACAGTATTCCACAAACTTCTTCACACATTTTTTCGGTTTTGATTTCTTTCTTAGGAATCTCTTAAATGGCTTGATTTCTTTCTTGCCAATGTCACCACTGGAATTTTTATCTAGCTGTTTGAAATACCAATGGACCACTCTCTCTTCCAGAGTATGATTTGGATCAGGCTCTGACACCCTGAAACATAAAACAAGAGTTTAGTCTTAATTCTGATACATAAACCTCAGTTTATACCTTTATTTCAGAATAATTAAATCACTATCAGATGCTTTGTTACATAAACCTCCCTGCTTTTGGCCACTAGCTTCTTGCAGTGAATCCCTCGTTTTTCACTTTGGCCAACTGTATCCTAAATTTTACACTAAGGGCTGGAATCTGCTCTTAGTTAACTCTCTGAAACTGTGTTGAGGTCAGCACCGTACTCAGAAAACAGTGCTTTCCCCTTTCATTTCCTGAAACAGAGAAAAATGGAGAGAGAAACAAAAGAGAAAAAGACAGTTTCATAGATGGCAGACACATTAAAACATGTAATAAACCCAACTAAAGTAGATTAACAGTCAGCATCGCCAAATACCTAGGCTCCAATTACAACCCATGATGGACACTCTTAGAGATAAAACACCTAAATGTGTTGAATTACAGAGTAAATTATGACAATAAATGCCACCTCCTCTTCAGATGATAAGCACCTGACCCACAGACACCCAAAGTTTCACAGCACTTACGCATTTTTAATTCTACCTGTGACTGTTGATAGCATTGGTTTGTTTTACAAGCAAGTAGGCAAAATATGAATCAGGAAGGTAGCACACATTCATCAAGTAAAGCCTGAGATGAGAACAAAGACTCGGACACGGTTGCACCAGCAGCTACAGATAAACTCTAAGATGTGCTGCTGCTGAGAATTTATCAAGTGCATCTCTGTTTAGTTGACATAGAACACAGTGGCAACTTTGAAGTAAACTCTCCTAGACAGGTTCTTGGAAATTTACCCTTTGTGAAGGCAGAAGAAGAATTACTTCTCAAAGCCCTCAATAATTTGTTCATCACTGCCAGAATCCTTTTAAAGACACACAAAAAGGATCTGAAACCCACCGGCTAGAAGACAATGATGGATCAGAGACTGCATGCACCATATCCGTGGACAATGCATCCAAAACACTAGTCAGGAACTCATTCTTCTTGGCCCCAGGACAACCTAGAAAACCAGATTTTTTTTCTTTTCTTGTTTTCTCTTTTTACAACATTTAAATTCCAATGATAGTTCAAACTTATAGATAGATGTGACTTCCTCTACACAAATTTCCATAAATTGTGGACAAGTTCATAATTCAAGACAAGCATCTAAATTCAGGTACATATCTGTAACATAGAGCAGAAATAGAAAAAACATCCTTTTGAACTTAAACAAGTGGGCATCTGCTTTGCATACCTTGGGTCCCTTTCTTTCAAATTTGGCATTATTTTTCCTTCTTTAAGACATTTTTTCCATGGGTGTCACATTTTGAAAAGAACAGCTTTGAAACAACAGAAGTTGTACAACAACAGTTGTACATGACACAGACCCTTTGAAACACAGACTAGAAGCCCATAGCACAGCACTTCTTTCAGATTTCCACTTTTGCTCCTCTGAACTACCATTGACTTGACAACACACATTCTCTTAGTGCATTGGTTTTCCTCTCTGTAAAATGGCAGTCAACACCTTGCCTCTTTCACTTTTTTCTTGGACAGAGGTTAACTCCCACTATACAGCACCTAGTCCAACTGGATGCTGTTAATTGGTACATTGGTTCATACCGTGGGATCCTATAGTGATGCTAGATCATCCTCATAATTACATTCCCTATGCCACAAAGTTCTTCTCTGAAAGAAACTGACAGCAAATTTCAGACACATAATATGTCAGATAAATATATACTGAAAGATCCACTCTTAGAGCAGTGCAGCTGGAGCAGATAAATCCTTCTGACAAGTGCATGGATGTTGACACATGGAGGTTTGCTTATACAACACACCTGCTTCCTCTCCTCCTCTCTTCCCTAGTGCCCTGAGCCAAACACCAGGTCTTCCCCTTGCGCTGTAATAGCTGAGTTAAACTCTGGGATGATCCACGAGCAGTGACATAGGGATGACAAGGTTGAGGCATGAGTCCATGACAGGACTTTCACAGATGATTCTTTGCTGAAGGACTGCTTGCCCACAGTTCTGTTCTTAAGTGAAAAAGGGAAACACTTTGAAGTGTTGTGGAAAGGGAAGATTAGTCAATCAGTAAGGATTTGTTACTTCATTACACTTCTCGGTGACCTCTGGAGCAGGCAGTAGGATTATCTGATCCTGAAAAGCCTCATCTTGCCCAGTGAATTATTTTTTAATACATCCCATGTCGATTCAAGGAAATGAACCAGTGTTATATTAGCCCTTAGCTGTGTAGCAGTAAGAATAGCTCAGCTATTATGTATAGCAGCACCCACTACATATTATTGTCTAACACATTCATGTAGTTATGAGTTCCCTGTCTCATGTGTTTGCCTTCAGCACCAGGGACATTTTATTCCAGTAATTGTAAAAGGCCTATAACAGGAATTCACTGAAGCAAGTTTCACTGCACTGAAAGTACACATCTGAAACCATTTGTCACTCTCCTAGATATGTTCCTCTTCCTTTAGCCTTTAACCAGTTGTTTTCTCCCCGTTACAACTGGGAAAAAAGAAAACAAAAACAAAACCAAAAACAAAACAAAAAACCCAACAGCTATGACTATAATCCTGTCTGAGTTCAGCAAGACGAGCACTTGAGCTTTCTCTGAAAGGCACAGAAATAAGAAGGGTGGCAAGAGATTAACAGGGAGGGACAGAGGACTATACCAACAGGTTGTTGGCAGCATTCAGAGCGTATTCAAAGGTATGTTCTCTAGAGCAAAGAGCTTGCTGGTAAGTAAGGCTCAGACACTGCAACCGTGTAAGTAAATCGTGCATTGTGATTTAAATGAAGCCATGTAACTTTGCAAGTCACAAAAGCACGCCTGCCCAGAGAGGAGCAGGCAGAGCCCAAGCAGTTCCCACGCGGAAGGCACATCCAGCCGTGTCAGCATGGTGACCAGCCTGAATCAAGCAACTCGGCCTCTGAGCAACCTACTGAGTTCAGCACTACACCTCACTAGCACGGATACTTGGCCTGTGGACCAGAGCTGGTTCTCTTCACAGGACAGGCAAAAAGAGTTCTGACCGAGGCTCTCCATGTAGACCTATCTTGAATGTTACAAGCTTCATCCATTTTGTGCTGGGGTTGTGTTACTGTCATCAGGCAGAAGCCTGAATCCTTCTCCAAACTTGAGCTGTGAATTGATACTGGGCTCGTGGAAAATGCAGACAATACTATTTCAGTGTATAACAATGCAGCACAATATGGAGACAAGACAATTTGACTTTTTTTCTTTCTCTGTGCCTTTTTGGATAGATTAAAATGTTGACATTGATTTAGGAGCTCCACCTGAATTTTTCACGTTAGTTATGAGTATATTCCTGAAACATCTAGAAAAAACAAAAATGTGTGCTTTAGGTAGTTTCCGTTGCTGTCCAGGGAGCTGCTGAGTGTACATACGCTACAGATGTAGAGATCGAAATCATGACTTAGCTTGCTATGTATGAGAAACGGCCAGGTAGGAGAATGTATCAACTTCTAAATTCACAAGAAATCACCGGGAAAAAATTCCATACTTTAAAGCCTGTCTCCGATAATTTTCCCTAAGATTAAGAAAGGTTTCTAAATGTGTATTGCATAAAGTTGCAATAGCACCTGACAGCAATAGAAATCTCATAGAAAAGAAATCTTGCTGTTAAAACAAACACAATTGGTTGCTGTGAAACATTCTAAATTATAACTCTACTACTTAAAGTAAAATGACACCCCACAAAATCCTCACCAGTTAAATACAGAGAAAATATTCAGTTTCTCCCAATTATATTTTTTGCTGATGTGTGGGCAATCACACAGCAATTTACCTCACAGTGAAATCTCTGTTCTTTGCAGGTGTTATTAACTCAGAATAATTCTCAGGAGGCTTCACGCTGAGCTTTAATTTTCAACAAACTTGTGGATGAAATGGCAAGACTGGGGGAGCTTTAGCTTGATTGTAATGAATAATTCACTCTCACTGGACTGAATACAGAAAGGGAAAGACTAGTCTCTTATGGGAGCTTTATGCTTCTCACTAAGGTTTATGTGCTTCAGTTTCTTCTTCTGCAGCTGCTTGTCCTGTGTGGATTTGACAGCTTACATAAATAATAATTGGTTGCTAAAAGGTTGAATTTGAAACCACATGGAGTTAATCTACAGGTTCAGAGATGTAACACAGAGTTGAGTGTTTGCTTTAAGGATAGTTTTACCCAGAGTAGACCTTAGAGCAACAAATACATACCACAAATGATGGGAATATACAAACACCTCATTTCAGCTATAATATAAATGTAATCAAAGAATCATCATTATACACTATACATCTCATATGTACACGTGTGTCTCTATAAATATATCTACCTTTAGTACTGAGGGTGGATTTTCGGAGTTAAATGTGTGAGGCAGTTGTCTCTAAACCTTTTAAAATATGCACCCGAGTGCCTTGGAGCTCCCTGCTTGGTTGATAACAATCTACTACTGTCAATCTTGGAAGATTATCTTTTACAGCACATGTGAAGTCATGGTTAGAAAAGTATTTTGTTGATTTCTGTAAAAATGTGAATACAATAGATAAGATTAATCACTTTAAAAGGGAGTTTACATTAATCTTCCTGCAAGAGAGGAAACTGTCTTGAGTCAGTCACTCAAGTAATTGAAGGAATGACAACTTCCAATTAGCAAATCTAAAGCTTCTTTTTTATTCCCTACTTGTTAATATGAACATCAGGCTTAGCAGTGCACTCAAATACAATGACCACTGGAATACTTCTGAAGATTATAAATAAGTTTTTATCTGCTAAAAATCAGAATGATCACAACTATTCATGTTTCTTTTGCAGTTTTGACTGCACTGAAACATAGTGGTGTACAGGAGAAAAGAATTTAGCAGTTTGTCAGTGCTACTGGTTATGCTGGGAGAGCAGACAATACAAGGAAAATATTTTTTCTTGGACTTTTATTCTATACATACATATAACTACAGTTCATGAGTTTATTTCTGTTGATCCATATAAATCACAAATTTGTGTTTGTCTAGATATGCTGAGATGCCTCCTCATTTTTTGGAGGTCTCTCCTGAGCTCTCCCTGAGTCCCATTCCAGCAAAAAAGCCCTTCAAAAGATGAGCCTGCGAACTGAAATTTGTAACTGTGCTGCAGACTAAAAATCATGGCCTCAACAGAGTCATAGGTTTTACAGCTCATTGCAGTTTCTCCCTCACTGCACCTCCTGGTAACCTCTCACAAACAGTAATTATCTACCTCTTCTTCTCTGTCCTAGAGGGGTTGAGGAAATTATGATCTCTCCTTGTTAACATCCCTCACACTTTTTTTGCTTTTCTTTTTTCTTTCAAATATTCTTACCAATTAAAAGAACTGAGTTAAACTCAGAGCCAAATTCTCTTTTATCTGTGCTTACCCAAATTTCAGAAATAATAAAGTAGAATAGAACAGATGTTAGCTGGAGGGGAGCTACAGATCCCTTGCTTTGTAGCCCCAGATCTCTATGTCTTACAGGCAAGAAGTATTATTTCTGGAGAAGGGCAGGAAGCAGATTTCAGTTCTCCACATATATTTAACTTTATTTTTCCTACTATTTTAAAATGATCTTTCTGTTCTAATTTCATGGGGGCGGGGAACAAAAGAGTTAACAAAGGACGCTTTTCCAAGGCCCTACCCTTCAATCCCAGGCATTCATATCATACCAAAGTGCATTGAGTGGGATTTGTTGAATTTGAGCCTGCTGAAATGAAGTGTCTCACCCATAACAGTTATTTAAGCTCAGTATAAAGGAACACATTCAGAAGGCATTCATCCCAACTACCTTAGACTTTTTCTTAGAATAGGATAGGATGTCCCTTAAAATGTATCTCTTCCTCCCCGTTAACTACTGGGAAAGCCCAGACAGCTAACTTATACTTCCCGGTGGTGTAAAACTGCTTGTGATGAATTCTGTAAGTATCTGGTTTGTAAGTTCATTTAGGCTCAAACTGGGTAAATGTGGTGGAAGGAGGAGATAATG